TGTATGCAAATCTTTTCCTAAAGTATCTGTCTGTTCTTAGAATATACTGAGTTTTCTCTTCCATTTCTCTTGCTATTTCCTCTAAGTCATATGCAGTAGTACCTGTTGACAATCCTACTAGTTTGAGTAATATTTGAATTGTCTTGTGAGTTTTTCTTTTTCTTTCTATTTTGAAAGTATTCTCAGGTATTCTTTTTCAAATGGATCAATCACATTTCGGCTAGTAATTGTATATTTTTTTTTTCTTTAAAAGTTACTGTTGCTATTTGTCACATTTCTACTGGTCAAATATTTATGGTATGAATATTTCCAAACTTTTTTAATATTGTTTTGATTGCTCCTTCGCTTGCCAAAAGAAGAATGTCTCTAACTATTATTGTATTTTTCTTTTCTAATTAGTGTTCCCTTTGTTCCATCAAAATTAGGTGTTCTCTATTTTTGTCTATACCAAAGTTGATATTACATGTCTTCTATATGTCAATAAGATTTTCAAAATTAGTAATAATTGCTTTTTTTTTTCTTATCGTTTCTCTTCCCACTCTTATCCCAAAGAAAGAATCAAAGGCTATATATATTTTCTCTATTATTTCTAGCATTTCTACTGATTCTATACCTGCTGCAAGCTTCAGTTCACATGTGTATCTTGGTTTTCTTTCTACTTCTTTTGGTTTTCATTCATTTTTTTGTTTTTTTTCCTTCTCTTTATACAATCCCATTTCTCCTGCTCTAATATCTGATCTTATGATATTCTTACTTCCTTCTTTTGTTTCTGATTCTTTTTTTTTAATCTTCATTTTTTATTCTTTTATTGTCTCTTGCATTTCTTTCTCTACTTCTTTCTTCTCTTCTTTTATTTTTTTGTTTTTTCTTTCTTTATGTCTATACTTGTTGCTCATACCAATATTTTTTTCTTTTTTTCTTTATCCAAACTTTTAGGTTTGCCTGGTTCTCTCTTGACAATAATAGTTGCCATTACTTTTGCTTCTCTAGTTGTATTTATTGTTTTTCTTTCTATACCTCTTCCTCTTTTCACACTTGATATTGTTGTTTGACTAATTCTTATTTTTTTTTTACTTTCTTATTACTTTTTAAAATTTTTTAAAAAGACAATTTTTTTTTGTATGGGAAAAAGTAATATTATTTATTTAAATTAATTATTTTATAAATATTAAAAATTTATTATAAAAAATATATATTTAAAAAAATTAAAAGTATAATGATAAATTATAATTCTAAGAATAAAGATTTAATATTACATATTTTTAAATAATCAAATTTTATTATAAATGCAATTGAAATATTTTTAAAAACTGAACAAGCTTCAGTACTTACTAATCTATTAATTGATAAAAGGTAAACTATAATATTTTATTTTTTAATATTTTATTTTTTCAGCTAAAGTGAAACTTTACTCTAGTTTATTAATATAGATAGTTTTTTACATACAAATTACATATATAAAGTTTAAGCTATATTATTTTATATTAACTAGAATCCACCTACAGGTACTATAGACTCTATACATGTGATATAAATTATTTTGCTATTGACTCAATTGCCAAAATCCTCAAAAATAATTGCATTTGATTCAATTATATTATATGTTTTAATAGTGATTCAATTAATTGCATCAAATAATTGTGTCAAATTGCATCAAGGATCTATTAATTTCTACTATATATATACTATAGACCATCTGGATGTAGCCTGTTATCTTGCTTGCTAACCAAGCCTACCTTAGCTCTATTTGTTCGATTCTAAATTTTTTCTTTTTGTTCTCTGTTTAATCATTCTGTTATATATTTATAGTTTTCTTTTTCCTTATTTATATTTATTATTCTTTGCTCTTCTTTTTATATATTTTCTATTGTTCTATTTATTTCCTTTATTGCTTTTTCTGCTTTTTGTTTGTTTATTTCTTTCAAAATTCTTGTCTATTGCTTTGATACCATTCCTTATATTACCCATGCTCAACTAATCTTTGTGTTTTTTTCTTCCATCACTTGTTGGATTTCCTCTTGTCTCTTGTTTTTCTCTTTTATTATTAGTTTATTATCAATATGATATTTCATTATTTCTATAATTCTCTGCTTCAGTCTTGATATTTGTTGTTTTGTTTTTATTTGATAGTTTAAACCAGTTAATTTAACAGATGTGAGATTTCATTTTGACTTAAAAAATAAAATAAATATTGAATTATGGAATATTAAATTTAGTATTACAAATTATTAGTTAAAAAGTTCAAAATTAATCAATTAGAATTTTGAATTTTTAGTTATAATTAGTTGATTATATTTAAAACAACTAATCAATTAGAAAATTTTTTGTCAACTAAGATTACTAACTGAATTTATTCAATTAAATATAAATATATAATTCCTATTTATAATATTTTGACTGATTTATTCCATTTATATATAAAATATTAAATCAGCATAATTCTTATAAATATTTAGCTATAATTTCACTAAACTGCAAGTATAATATTTAAAATTACTAAAATTTGATTATAATTAGATATAAAACAATTTGTATCTAAATTTAATTTTTTAAAAATAATTTAAATTTTATTTTATTTATTTATTTATTTATTTTTTATAATAGAATGATATTAGATATGAAATTTTATTGACTTATTTATCAATTTTGAATTATATCAAATATCATCTATTGTTATTACAATAGTTAAATACTAGCTTATCTACTTATTATCCTAGTGATATTAGTAATACTCATGAAGTAGGTTCATATTTTTTGGAAGGATCTATTTAGGAGGTGGAAGTCCTATCACTAGTTTAAACCACTTAACCTACCAGTCCAATTTTTTGAGAGGGCAGTGAGTACTGTTAACCATTTTCTAAGGTTACTTGTCACATTATACCTTTTCGCTTACACAGCTAATATGGCAGAGAGATTCAATATGAATATGCACTCCCTAGTGAATGTTCCAGTTTTGATCTGCTGGTTGGACCATATAGGTCATGCTAAGCAAGCTTCCAAAATCCTTTATCTCTTAGTAAACACTTCAGTTCAAAACCGGTTAGTGTAAGCTGTCAAATCTAGGGGTATAAATACCAAGTAAGATGCAACTCCTACATATATGATAAGCCATTGGGTAATTCATATTGCACAAGACATTAGTATCGGTTCAGTGCTTTCTTTAAAGCTTTCTTATTTGACAGTCGGCAGTAAGGGGATTAGTGACTTGGGATTAGTTAAAATGGAGTACAGTCTATACATGTGGTGTAAATTATTTTGCTGTTGACTCAATTGCCAAAATCCTCAAAAATAATTGCGTCTGACTTAATTATTTTATATGTTTTAATAGTGACTTAATTAATTGCATCAAATAATTGCGTCAATTGTATCAAGGATCTACCAATTTCTACCACATGTATAGTACAGTCCAGTCTATATATTCAAATATATGGTGGTTCTATAGCTCCTTTTATAGACGATTATCATAACACCATTTGAATGATCATTACACCACTACACCTTTAATGGGAAGATTACAATCTCAATACTTGCTGGATTGATATGTGAAATGGCTTCTCATGAGAAACAGTACATAATTGGCTATGGTGTCAGATACTATATTAATTCTATTCAACCACCTTTACATAGGATTGAACTGATATCTTGTGATCTGACTTGTGGAGTACTAACTACTGTGCTATGGACCCACAGGTCCAATTTTATTTTATTTTTTTTTATAATTATTATAATTAATTTATAAAAAATAAAATATTATTTCATAATCTGCAGGCGATGACCTTTAATATCAAACTCCATAGGTGGGTAGATAGAAAAGAGAGCAACCTTTTTCATCTCCAAAGTCACACCTAGAGACATTTGTCTAAGACGGGTGTTCAAGGCAGTAGAATAGTTTATGCAATACAATGTATTATACATTATTTGTTTTCTGAAAAGATTTAATAAACAATATGCGCTTGTTTGACTACGGGAAAAAAAAAAAAAAAAAAAAAAAATATTATTTCATAATTCAGCATATATTGAATTGTTGCTAAGTGATATTATGCCAAATGGTTGTATATCCAAATGTTTGACAAGTGGCAATATACCGAATGGCACTATTTTGACTAGTGTAAGAAATGTTGTTTCTTTTATAATATTTACTATATTATACAAATATCAAATAAAGAAATGATGTTTACCTACTGAAAAAAAAAATAATAATAATTTATAAATTTTTTCTATAACTCCGATAATATACTATTAGAAAAAATTTAATTTATAACAAATTAAATAATCTAAGAATAAAAAATTTTATTTTAAAACTTATATTATATATTAAATAAAAAAATTTTAATTTAATACTTTAATTATTAGTTATAATATTACAAATAATACAAAGTACTAATGTGCAAATGCAAAAGTCAAATACAGGATCCATAAGAACCATAAATTACAAAAAAAAAACTTGAATTAAAAAAGAATTACTTTTTAACGAGATTTTTCACTTTATAGATTACGTAAAAAAGGATAAAAAGGTAGGAATACAACGACGTAAATTGCTTTTTAAAGTAGTAAATAAAAATGTATCATTACTAAGTTTTTTGTCGACCTCTAAATTTGTAACATCTAAAAATTACGCCTCATTTTTGTTTTGGCGAAACATATTCCTGGATTTAGGCTATAGAGACTTTTGGAATAAATCAGAAAGTCAATGCATATCGGAAATAGGGATAATCGGTCTAACCAAATATTGTGATATAGTACAGCATACAGCATACATGCCAAGAATTATTGTAAGTTCTAGTTTCGTGCTTACATATGCAGCAGACCAATGTTGTCTTCATTGAAAAGTTGTACTAATATGTATAAATGCGTCAGGTGTTTGAATATATGTAGATTGGCGAGTTCAGGTTTTTCATAAAAAAATTTTTCGGTATAAAAAAAGAATGATAGCAATTTCTCCATCGAATTGTTCCTATCTGCCCTATTTAAAAATCGGAGATATTTTTTATATCAAGTAAATGGCATCACACGAGGGAAAACCTGTTGCACCACTTGTAGCGGATAGAAACAACGCCCCGCACGTACCTTCTCGCGGTTATATCCTCGGAATCCGTGCATTCGAAATTTCTTCAAGCTTGGCAATCATTATTTGCCTTGCTGTTGCCGCAGCAGCTCACAACACATTATATGACGAAGGAATTAATTATGATTCTAGTAGATTCAGAACAAATCAACATAATGTTAGCTCCCCAAACCAAACTGGTTATGATGACACTAGCGGGGTTTTATATTGGATGACGTTGGGATTAGTTATATCTTGTGTAGGATTTGCTTATTCCCTTTTATCCTGCTTTGATCGTCAGTTCAGGATCCCACTATTACAAGCCCTTATTTCATTTGTACTATGTGCTGGATTTGTAGTTTATGTCGTTTATGGGGCGATAAATACCCCTTATGAATTTAAATGTTATGGATTGGATGAGGAGGAATGGATCAAGAATAAACAGGCTGGGTATAGTACGATTCTGACGGCACAGAATAATAGATGTGCTGCGCCTAAAGCCGCCGAATTTTTCGCATTTGTTGCGACTTTCAGTTACGCTTTTAGCGCCTGTGTTGGAATCAAAGTTTGGCTCGATCGTAAAAGATATCCAGAAGTGCCAGTGGTTTAATAAATCCAATAGACTTATGTCTTTTTTTCTTTCAATGAGATATCACGAAAGTCTTTTTACTTGACAGTTAGTTTATCATCAAGGACAACTTAAAAATATCATTGACGATAAGGTGATGTATAATTTTAATTTGCTATTATAATGTGTATTTCAGATAGGTCAGATTAGCATCAAATTTTCAATGTTGTTTATAATTGTTTTATTTTAATAAAAACTAGGATTAATTTACTTTTGTAAAGATCTTTAATATAATGGTATTATGAAAGTTTAATAAAGCCATGCGTTTAATACCTGTTAAAAAAAAAAGTATAAATTCAATTATTATAAATTTTTTAAATAATAAATAATTAGTTAGTGCCAAATAACTATAGTATTAGGCAAACACAATTGATTGGTTGATTATAGGCTTCGAAATCACTAATTAAATTATTGATATCTTTAAATAATATCAAATGCAAAATAACTCATTATTTGGCATACATTATGTTTATATATTTTTTTATTTTAATGCTTTTTTGAATTTTTATTTATTTTAAAATATAAAATATAATAAATTATTCTAAATCAATTGTAATAAAATTAAAACAAATATAAAAGAATAAAATATTATTAAGTATACAAATAAGTTAATTAAATTATAAATGCTTGGTAAAATTATATTAATGTTAATATATTATATATTTAAATTAATTACATATAAATTACAAATTGAAGATCAATAGATCAATAGCACAATGGATAATATTCTTTAATTTTCAAATATATATCTTTAGTTCATTATCTATAGAAGACAAAGTATATAAAAATTTATTCTTTATTTGTGGATTTTATCAAATTTTCACAAATATCATACTCAAATATTTGAATCTTGACCAAATTCAATTAGACTATATGAAAATAGAATCTTTGATCTTTGATTGTGGGCTAAAAACAGATTGAAGCAAAAAAGGTTAAATAAGAAAAAATTTCTAATTTAACTTCAATAAAAGTCCTATTACACTTCTTATTATTAGAAAATAAGTCAAACTTGAAAAAGATCATTGATATGAATACTATTTTTGGATAGATTATAGCCAGTTATGAGAATTTCTCTATAGAAGTTATACTCTGCTTAATATTTATGTCTTTAAATTTAATAGCCAAAGTTAATCGAATTTTCTTTTTTAAAATATCTACCATATAGTGCTCTATATAATATCTTTATAAAAAGTATTTCCTTCGAATAATACCCAGGTATTATATTAGTTATATGGCCCAAAAACCTGATATATACCTGGGTACTTTATATGACCAATAGAAAACAATTTAGTGATCAAATACATATACATATTATATATATATATATACTAATGAACATACAATATGTTATTTTTTCTTAATAATAGTTGCTTGATAATAGTGTTTGTTAGTACTTGATAATGGCATAATTATATAATAATAAAAACAGATTAAAAACTATTATTATTATTATACTTTTTTTTTTTAAAAAAAAAAATATAATCATATACTGATTATCTATTACTTAATATAATTTTTATTACTATACTTCCCATATTTTATATTCCCTTACTACAATATTCCCCAAATAATATATCCTTTATCATATACAATATCTGGAGGGATACTATTTATGGTTTAAACAAATTTTCTGATATGTACTCAGGATACTATATAAAGCACTATATGGTACTAGAAGATAATAAGAATTACATCTCACTTGACATTTATATCCCTAGATTTGATAGTCTATATTAACCAAGAAAGGTAAGCTCTTGAAGTACTTACTAAGAAATATACGTATATATTTGAATACTCCCTGATTTCAGATAGTATTATAAATTGTTAATTGAAAAGTTTAAAATTAACTAATTAGAATTTAGAATTTTTAACTATAACTAGTTAATTATATTTAAAACAACTAATTAATTAGAATTTTTTTGCCAATTAAGATTACTAATTATAAAGGTTATTATGATTATAAAAATTGCGAAAGTTGCGAAGATTGTGAAAATTGTAAAAATTGTGAAGATTGTGAAGGTTATAAAGATTATAAAGATTGTGAAGATTATAAAAGTTGCAAAGATTATAAAGGTTATAAAGATTGTGAAGATTGAGAAAACTGCAAAAATAACGAAAGCTATTCTCTATAGGATTTTTTATTAAAGTTTTTTTTGTTTATTTAAATATTTTTGATTTTAGATTTCATTAAAAAAAAAAGATATTTATATAAAATTATTTATATTATAAAATTATATTTTTGATATATTATATGATTTGTTAACTATTTGCTTTTTATTTATTTATTTTTTTTATTTGCAAAAGGGCATTAAATATGGGGCTTTTATTAAACTTTTGTTTATTGCCATTACATTAACAATTTTTACATAAATAAATTAATTGTAGCCTATTGTAACAATATAATGTGATACGTATAGCCTTTGAAAACTTAAGTAGAGAAAGAAAAAGGGTAAATAATAGCTAGCTACTAGTTATATTATAAACCGGTACATGTGTTCGCTAAGAATAAACAAGGAATTGTTTAGTGTGACTAAGAAAATCAGGTTTTGAATATGCTGGGTCCAGGAATCAGATTGTTGTTGTAATATGGCCTGTGGGTCTTTCCATATTAGGGGCCTTGTTTTCAATATAGCACGATCATTTTGCACTGATCTTTTAGAAAAGGTAAGCTAATCGTAGTTTTTTGGTATGGATAGGAATTGGGAGAGTAAACAAGAAAATCAACTTCATGAAAATTTTTCTTAAATATATATGAATGATGGAATGTTAAGTATCCAGGATGGGAGTGCTTATCTAGTATATACCTCTAACCAACTATTTCAGATAAAACCAGAAGTTCAGTTATATAAAACCTTATATATCTGATCTCTTTATATTAGAGAATTACCACCTTTGACTATCTACTGTCTTTTCCCACGCATTCTCAGATTTTGATATATAAACTAGTGACTATTGAAAATATTCCTGGCTGCTTTTGTATGCTTCTAGTCACAACTTTCAATTGAAGTAATTCTATCATGACCTTTTCCAGATTAAGCTCCTTTAAGCAAGAGAAGAGATTTTTATCAAGAGACTTATATCTCTTGAAGAAAGTGGTTTTAGCTTGAGTAAGATATTTGCTTAATCAAGATAGGAATATTGATATTTTAGAGGGTTGATGAAATAGCTGCGGAGTAAAGAAAGAGAGGTCTAGAAAACCTTCAAGAGGAAGGGAAAACAGTTCATTAGCAGAAAAAGAGGCTTGAGGGAAAAGAAGAAAAAAAAGAAAAAAAAAGAAAATTGCTCTCTAACTTGTGATTACCAGACATACACAGAGCCTTGCTGCAAAAAAGGTTGGCCCCTTCAAATCTTCCTTTTCCTTGTCTCAAACTTTTATCATGTGCAGGTCTTTGGTTAGTTCACAGTTTCCTAAGCAAGAGTGCTTCTTCAGATGTGCCAGCCAGTACTATATACATATATGTTTCTTAGAGAATAATGTTCAACAGTTGGAGAAGCCTTGTGTGGTATCAGCACATCTTAGACTTAACCTGCTGCAGAATTTCATTTTTAATAGAAGAAAAGAAGCGAAGGGGGAAGGGAAGAAAATTTCTTAAAAAGGAAATCTTCAGATGAAATGGGAGTGAGTGGGAAAGAGTTTTTTAACTATTTGCTTTTTATATAATATAATATACTTGTATTATATTATATTTGTATTATATTATATTTTTATTGTATTATGGTTCAGCAATATAAAATTTAAACAACTTTTTTCATTTTGGTTATTTTAAATATCAAGAAAATGTTTAATTTTAGCTTTACTTAATAAAAGTTTAAGAAAAAAGTCTAAAACAAAAATTTTCTACAATTGTAACAAATATAATGGATTACTTGTTAATGCTCAAACTGGATTTTTTTATTAATATCAGAATCCAAAAAAGTTATAACAAAACAAAAATTTATATTTTAATCCAAAACAAGAAAGCCTAATATAAGATTATAATAATTTTGATACTGATATTTTTAATGCCAATATTCTTGATGCTGATATTTTTAATAATGATATTATTGAAAATAATAGTGCAACTTTTGATAAATTAAATAATCTATTTGAAAATTATTCAATATCAAGTTTTTTGAATTCCAAATTATCAAAGCCAAATAAATTTATTAATATTGATAGCCAATTTACATAAATTTTATTATGGATTATGAACTTTAAATAAAATTTAATTTATTAAATAATACAATAAAGGTATTTCTAAAGTTTATAAAATTAATACTAATTAAAATTAGTAGTAACAAATAAAGATAGGTTCCTAAATTATTTAGCATATAAAATTTCACAAATCAATTATTTCCCTTTTGAAGGGATATAATTAATTAATTATTATTTTAATAGGAACATAATTCAAAAAACATTTGGATCAAGTATTCTAAATTGCAAAAAATCTTTATAGGTAGTTTTTTTTTGATATTATATTAAAAAAAAACTTTTTTAATAGTGAAAGACATTTTAATTATATCCTTGTCTTTAATTTAAGAACCTATCTTTAGTAACAAATTTGAATCTTTCTATAGATCTTTGTATATTATCAAAAATTTTCTTTGAATTATTGAATCAATTTGTTAGCTTTATAGCATACCAATGCCATAAGTTATATAAACAGAATAAAGTAATCTACAAAGGCCTATCATATTATTGTAGACACTTTTATTTTTTAAATAATAAAAAATTTTATTAATAAATAAATTTTAAAAATT